CAAGAGTAAAAAAACGATTAACTAACAACTTACTTTCCCTCTGTACCGTTGCTAGAGCCTCCTCTGGATTATCCAATTCAATATATGTTTCTTTATCCATAAGATGCTTATCACCCATAGCTATATAATTGTTAGTTTTCATGACCACCAAAGCACCATCTTTATCTGCTTTTTTAATAACTATGTCTGGATTTTCTGCTAATTCTTTTAATGCTTTGTGTTCCTCTTTTGTTAGGTTGGGTCTCTCTTTCTTTTCCCATGCCTGATACACTTCAAATAGTTCACACTTAATCACATTTTCAAGTCCTGGCATCTTACGAGGTGGGAGGGATTTCATTTTCTTGGAGGGTAATTGTTGTGGAAGTTTTTTCTTTTCCTTGGTTTCTCCTGTAGATGCTCCAGGCAGTAGAGAAGCTGTGAACCTCTTATTTATGGTTCCTTGTAGATCTTCCAACGAGGCTTGAAAATCTTCCCAAAGTTTCTTTTTCCTTGGGGGCCTGGCACAAAAGACCTACCTTTATGTAGAACCGAGAAGTGTATTCTTTCAAGGGGGACTTCACTTACCACCAATTCCATGCCCAATTGTTTGGATCTTCTTCTTGCCACTGTCTTCCTTCTCTTCTTCCTGTTCCCCACTGGGAGTTTCCTCTTTGATGGTCTGCCCAACCATTGTATCTGTTTCCCATGTTGTGTCTTCTTTCCTTGTGGGGGTTCCTCTGTCCCTGCCACCTGTATGTGTTCCTCTGATGGCTGGGGTACCACTCTCTCCTTCGGAAACCTTGGTGGGGGTAGGGTCTTCTCTGGAAGTCCTGAGGGGGTGTTTGTTGGGTACCTCTTCCCCTGTTTACCCTGGCATTCCTTTGTGGGTGATGTTGGGGTGGGTTCCAGGTGTTCCTCCTCTGGTCCTGCCTCTGTTCCACCGTCGTTTCCTGTGTCCTGAACCTTCTCCTCTGGGGCTGACTTGTGGCTTCTCTTTGTTGTGGGGCATTCTCTTTGTACCCTTATGTCTTCTTGTGTTTGTTGTTTCTGGTTTCCTTGGCTTCCTTTCTTTCCTTCTTATAGGTAGGTTAGGTTAGGTTAGGTTAGGTTAGGTTAGGTTAGGTTAGGTTAGGTTAGGTTTAGGTTTAGGTTAGGTTAGGTTAGGTTAGGTTAGGTTTAGGTTAGGTTTAGGTTAGGTTTTAGGTTAGGTTAGGTTAGGTTAGTTAGGTTAGGTTAGGTTAGGTTTAGGTAGGTTAGGTTAGGTTAGGTTGTTAGGTTTAGGTTAGGTTTAGGTTAGGTTAGGTTAGGTTAGGTTAGGTTAGGTTAGGGTTAGGTTTAGGTTAGGTTAGGTTAGGTTAGGTTTAGGTTATATTAGGTTAGGTAGGTTAGGTTAGGTTAGGTTGGTTAGGTTTAGGTTTAGGTTAGGGTTAGGTTAGGTTAGGTTAGGTTAGGTTAGGTTAGGTTAGGTTAGGTTAGGTTAGGTTAGGTTAGGTTAGGTTAGGTTAGGTTAGGTTGGGGTTAGGTTAGGTTAGGTTAGGTTAGGTTAGGTTAGGTTAGGTTAGGTTAGGTTAGGTTAGGTTAGGTTAGGTTAGTTAGGTTAGGTTAGGTTAGGTTAGTTAGGTTAGGTTAGGTTAGGTTAGGTTAGGTTTAGGTTAGGTTAGGTTAGGTTAGGTTAGGTTAGGTTAGGTTAGGTTAGGTTAGGTTAGGTTAGGTTAGGTTAGGTTAGGTTAGGTTAGGTTAGTTAGGTTAGGTTAGGTTAGGTTAGGTTAGGTTAGGTTAGGTTAGGTTAGGTTAGGTTAGGTTAGGTTAGGTTAGGTTAGGTTAGGTTAGGTTAGGTTAGGTTAGGTTTGGTTAGGTTAGGTTAGGTTAGGTTAGGTTAGGTTAGGTTAGGTTAGGTTAGGTTTAGGTTAGGTTAGGTTGGTAGGTTAGGTTAGGTTAGGTTAGGTTAGGTTAGGTTGGTTAGGTTAGGTTAGGTTAGGTTAGGTTAGGTTAGGTTAGGTTAGGTTAGTTAGGTTAGTTAGGTTAGGTTAGGTTAGGTTAGGGGTTAGGTTAGGTTAGGTTAGGTTTAGGTTAGGTTAGGTTAGGTTAGTTAGGTTAGTTAGGTTAGGTTAGGTTTAGGTTAGGTTAGGTTAGGTTAGGTTAGGTTAGGTTAGGTTAGTTAGGTTTAGGTTAGGTTAGGTTAGGGTTAGGTTAGGTTAGGTTAGGTTAGGTTAGGTTAGGTTAGGTTAGGTTTAGGTTAGGTTAGTTAGGTTAGTTAGGTTAGGTTAGGTTAGGTTAAGGTTAGGTTAGGTTAGGTTAGGTTAGGTTAGGTTAGGTTTAGGTTTAGGTTAGGTTAGGTTAGGTTAGGTTTAGGTTTTTAGGTTAGGGTTAGGTTAGGTTAGGTTAGGTTTAGGTTAGGTTAGGTTAGGTTAGGTTAGGTTTAGGTTAGTTTTGTTAATTAGTTAGGTTAGGTTAGGTTAGGGGTTAGGTTAGGTTAGGTTAGGTTAGGTTAGGTTTAGGTAGGTTAAGGTTATGGTTAGGT